GGTTCGTGGCCCGGGACATCGGCGGCAGTGACCCGGAGCGTATGGCGGCGCCGCGCGTGGCCGAGTACATGCAGCGCGTGCTGAAGGGCTCCCAGGTCAAGGTCGAGGTCGAGGAGGAGGACAGCAGCTCCACGCCGTTCAAGGACAAGTACCCGCTGCTGGCCGCCGTCAACCGCGCCGCCGCCGGTGAGAGGGGAGGCAGAGGAGCGGAGCGAAGGAGGAGATAAGTTGGGAATGGGTTTGGTAGGTGAACGAGGTAGTGTGTTTGGGGTGTATGCTGCTTTTACGACAGTTATGTTATTCACGGTACTTTTTCAAGTGTTGTTTAATCATACGATTCATACCAGTACTTGCAGCTGTATCAGATACTAGATGTTTAGGCCCTTTGTCGTCATTGTTGCCGTTGACCTCTCAACTTCTGCAAATGTCAGAGGCTGGTTGAGGTCCCAATGTCACCACGCCATCTGTTTTTCAGTGATCCCGCCTCACCGTGGCCGCGTGATCCACCTGGCCTACGAGGGCCAGGGGGTCGCGGGTGAGGATGAGGTCACCGTTCTGACCTCTGTGTCTCTGTCTTACAGTGATCCCGCGCCACCGTGGCCGCGTGATCCACCTGACGTACGAGGGTCAGGGTCCCATCACGGCCACCTACATGCTGGTCGGAAAGGGCATCACCTACGACACAGGTTAGACATGAGGTCAAAGGGCAAATGACATAGGTCAGGCGGGGTAAAGGTCATAGGGCATCACGGCTATGACACAGGTCAGACATATGGTCAAGTTCAAATGATAAAGGCGGGAGATCAAGGTTAAAGAACAAAGGCGAGAGATCAAGCTGCTAACGGTCGTCGGTACTCTAAGACAAGTGGAGTGTTCCGTTGTTGCCTGTTTTACACTCAACCCACCGTGACCTGACCTGACCTGCCCTGACCCTCGCGACGCCCGCAGGTGGTCTGGACATCAAGGCTGGTGGTGTGATGGCCGGCATGCACAGGGACAAGTGCGGCGCCGCCGCCGTCGGAGGCTTCTTCAAGGTCAGAGCTCACACACGGTTATTTCCATTGCCTCTACAACGCATGCTTGATTTCTAATGGCACTTGGTGTATTGCTGGACTGTCTAACTTCAGATCACCATGTTCCGTTGCAAGGACAGAGTGTTTTCAATTGGAATCGACAAACCCTTGGTCAAAGCTCGTCAGTTTTTTCGGATAATTATCAGCAGCTTTTTGAAACCGTATTAACTCTAGCGCTGTAAGCGAAACTTATTGCAGCACAAGTTTCACAAACGCTACCGCCTGTGGTTTTGAACGGTTGAGTTCGAATATTATCGCTACCATTCGCTGAGGGTTTATGTCGCAATGACATTTACGGAAACGACTCTCGTCCAAAGTCTGAAGACTATCTTATTCTCGTGGCCATCATATCAAGTGCGCATGACTCAGATAGTCATCAAATCGAGTGCTATTGAAGTATAGTTATTTAACCGCTCCTCTATAGGTTGACCCACTGTCGGAATGGCCGTTGGGAGCCGCCCATTGACCGTTGTTCAATTGCGTTGCAGTGGACCGCGCTGTCCTCTGCGATTGATAATCAATGGCTCATTGATGGGAGCTACCATTGCGGAAATTGATAGCAGCTTCCATTGCGGAACGGGTCCGGCCAGCACCGCGACGAGCCGCAACGGCTGGTCTAAATCATACCGAAATGGACATCACGAATGAAGTTAATGAATAATCGTTTCAATTCCACATCTTGTTAACTTCTTTTGGTCCTCGAATCACTGAAATGACACTCGTGCTTACCCAATTGTCTAATTATGTTACGAATCATAGTTGTGTAGCTTTTTATGCGCATTCCTTACTCGCCCAATCACAGTTTTACTTTGCGCCTACCTGTCTCGACCACTCCATCAACATTGAGACCAGTTTCTTCACCGCCTGAGCCCGTGTGACCCGGTATCACTCCGTGTGACCTCATGTGACCCCCGTCTACCCTCTATATTCGTCAGACTCTGGCCGAGCTGCGCCCCGTATTACTGTGTGTGACCCCGTGTGACCCGTGTCCCTCTATATCCGTCAGACTCTGGCCGAGCTGCGCCCCAAGGGCATTAAGGTGGTCGGTGTGATGTGTATGGTGCGTAACTCGGTGGGCGCCGACGGATACGTGGCTGACGAGATCATCACATCGCGCGCCGGCGTCCGCATCAGGTCAGTGGGGGTCACTAAGGTCAGGGCTGTGGTCAGGGGTGGGGACGGGGGTTAGGGCTGGAATCAGGGTTAGGGCTGCGGTCACTGGTTAGGACCTGGGATTAGGGCTGGGTTCAGGGAATAGAGCTGAGGTAGGTTAGGAGTTCGGGCTGGGTAAAGCTGGGGTAGGTTAGGAGTTCGGGCTGGGTAAAGCTGGGGTAGGACAGGGATCAGCGACTGGGATTAACAGTGCTACCTACTCATAAGTCAGTGATCGGTGTGGTTTAGTCAGGCGTAGCACTCATCGACCAAGGTGCCCGTACTTGCGGGTTCAGGCTGGAAGGGTACGGGGGTGCCGACCTTGTTAAGGGTGGGTAGGGTAGGTTAGTGGTTGACTGGGAAGGCGACGTAGATATGATAATTGATATTCTTATATTTTTCCGGGTTATCGAGAAGGAAAACGACATTGAGCAGCATGCGGATTGATTGAAAAGACAAGATTCAGTGAACAGCATTGTATTTATCCTATTCGGTTCGTGTGCTTGTGTGTTTGTTGCGCTAACGCCGTTTCTCGTCGTTCGGCAGGGTGGGAAACACTGACGCCGAGGGACGGATGGTGATGGCCGACCTCCTCTGTCTGGTGAGTGGTGCAGCGTAACGTCACTCGTCAGTGACGGCAATATCAGAAGTGATGTGAACATCAGCAGGTTCGAATAACGTCGGTGGGAACGCTGGAGCCTGGACGTCAGTATTATAATAGAAATATAGATTCGATGTCGCAATGGAGCACCACTACGGACCGCAGTAGCATTCCGGCAGTAGTGAATGGATCACTTGGGTGTGTCCTAGAATGAATAAGTCACGCTGTTAATGGCCTGCAATAAACGAGCCCCTGGCTCGTGGCAGCCCCAACAGTGCTATCGATCTGCCGTGGACTCGTGGCCACACCATTCATTCGCACCCTCCATTCAGTTTTCCTCCATTCACTTTCCAAGTCCCCACCGCGAACTGCTATGTTTACAAACTCACGAACATCCCCAACTACCAACCACAAACTCCCATGAGCGTAGTGTACTACGTGTAGTAAGTGTGTACCCCTTCCCTCCGCCCTCACTCTCACCCCCTTCCCCTCCGCAGATGAAGGAGCGCGCCGCCGGCGAGGTGAACCCCTACCTGATGACGGTGGCCACGCTCACCGGACACGCCTGCCTGGCCTGCGGAGACGGCTACGCGTCAGTACTGGACAATGGGCCGGCGCGCCAGGCGCACTGCTCAGCGCGCTTCTCAGAGGCCGGCGACCTGATGGGCGACCCCTTCGAGATTAACACCATCCGCAGGGAGGACTACACCTTCCACAAGGGTAAGAATACTGGGGGAGTACATATTCCACAAGGGCGAGAGAGGGGATTACACCTTTCACAAGAGTAAGAACGGGACAGGACTACACCTTTAACGAGGGTAAGAACGGGGATTACACCTTTCACAAGGGTAAGAACGAGCGAACCTTCCTCAAGGAAGCTTGCCTTCCTCAAGGACGACACCTTCCTCAGGGATGAGCGAACGTGATGGAGTTCACGCACGTAAAAGGTTTTTTTTCGGAAGGGTGGAGACTGGAGAGGAGGGCGGTTTTAAACCCCAAACCCTTGCTGGAATGTTTGGCCACTCTGCTTCACCTCGACCTCCTTCACCAAAGTCTGGCCCCCTTCTTCGCCCTCCCGCGCCACCAGCGCAGGTCGTTTCGCGTGCAACTGTGTGTTTGTAATAACGCTAGCCGTGCAGCAGCTCTATGTAACCGTCCAATAACCGCCCCACTGTCTCCCCGTTCCAGGCAAGTCCGAGTACGAGGACGTTCTGCAGTGTAACAACGCTCCGTCGTCCCGCACCCCGCGCGGCCACCAGGGCCGGCCGCCTTCCTCATCATGGCCTCCGGGCTGGACAAGGTCAGTGGGGTGACGGAAGAGGGGCGGGACGGGTCCCAAAGGGGTGATTGGGTGACGGTGAGATTCAGGGAGGGAGAGAGGGAGATGGTGTGAAAAACAATGACTGGTGGGAGTCGAGAAGAGGGTAATGATTTGCCCCAGCAGGATTTGCGACGCGAAGGAACCCGTCGACGTCTTTGGGATGTAGTGCAGTCTGTAGATGATTTCAAACAATATTTATCCAGAATACAGCAGGAAGGCTGGAGTACGTCGTCACAAGCTTTGCTTCCGGTTTCTCTTGCTCAATGTTTAGCATTATCTGCCTCCCGAGCATCGAAGACTAAAAATTCGCTTCCGTATCGCCTATGACGCAGTTGTCCATTGACCTTCCCGTAGCGCTCGCGCCCCACTTCCACTGCACGTGTCAGCACGTGATACCGCATCTACCCCGCTCACCTCCCCTCTACTCTCTCCGCAGCACGGTATTGACTCGGAGAAGCCGCTCAAGTACTCCCACCTGGACATTGCGGCCGCCTCGGGACCCTTCCCGGGCGTCCCCTCGGGCTCCCCAGTGCTCGCCATGGCCGCCAACTTCTTCGGAAACCAGCTGTGAGCCGCCCCGTTCGTAGGGTGGTGCGCGGGCGGTGGGGTTTGTGATCACAGGCCCGGATCGGACCGAAACTGTGGCAATGATTGTCGGTGAAATGAGGTGGAACTGAAATACAGGATCAAGCTCGGTGGTGATTATGGTCTATGAATTGTAGGGCGTGGGTGTAGCAGTGATTTGTTCCCGTGCTGTGCGATACTGAGTTGTGATACTTTTAACCCCTTCAGATTCTCACGATTAACCCCCGTGGGGTTATAGCTCCCGATCATCACACATACACACATAGTGTAACATCCGACCACTGCGCGCTTTATTCCTCGATCCAGGTCATTGACGCGAGATTACACAATGCCGACCGTTGCCGGCACGGCACACAGTCCAAACCGGCGGCGACACCATTCCCAGCCGTCCAACCGGCCGGCCGGCCGCGCCGCCCGCAACAGACAGATCAACGTTAAGTCTCCTTTATTTATGGAAGATCTACATGATGACCAAATGACCATGAACGGTAATATACACAGGGCTGGGGCGGCGGCGGCGGGTCGGGCGCGCTCGGAGGTCGCCGGCGGCTGCCGCCCCGCCGCCGCCGCCGTCGTCGGTTCGTCTGGGCTCTCTGAGGGCGTCCCGGTGGCGACTCGTCTCGTCTCTCTGGCGGCCGGCGAGCCTCGTCGCTCGCGCGGCGGCCCGCTCCTCGCTCACGCATCAGACACAGCAAAAATACGCGCGGTTTGTACAGGAGCTTCCCGAGCTCGGCAACTCGCGGCGGCCGCGCCCCCGCCGCCCTCTCACGCACGCAGACACGCACACAGACACACACACGCACGCGTACACTCGGCCCGGCCCCGGCGCGCCGGTCGGTGCGATGGAGAAATGTCCAGCACTGTCAGTCCCCGGCTCCCCGCTCCAGTCAGCGCCAGCCGCTGGGGCGATTCGTCGCGGCCGCCGCGGCGCCGCTGGTTCCCAGTGGTTCCCCGCGGTCTCCGGTGGTTCCGACGGATCCCGGCGCACCCACCACGTCGCCTATCACATCGGGCGACGGCGGATGTGTAGTTCGTCCGAGCGCCGGCAGGTGGCACTGCGGGCGCGCTCAGTGGATGTCCGACGACTCTGGCTTTATTAAGCTATGGCTCTCTTGTGTGCTGGTCGGCTGCCGGCAGAGGTCAGCCAGGCTAGGTCACGGGGGTGCCCCAATACGGCCGGCAGAGGTCAGCCAGGGTGGGTCATGGGGGCTCAAATACAGCGAATGGTAGGCACTGGTGGGCACTGCCATGGACACGCAAAGATCATAGAGACAACATGATAACGAACGTAGCATAATCATTATTTTTGTGGCATTTGATTCGGTCTATTAAACAGTCATTGGCAAATAATCAACCACCTTAATGTGACAATGTTACTGCAATGCTAATAAGAGAGAAAAAAGATTATATTCCAAGCATACAAGTTTGAAACTGTAAAAACAGCTAGTGAAAGAGCGGCTTTCAAAACGACATAAGACTTAAATGGTGAACTAACTAGAACAGCAGCACGGGTAAGCGAGGGTGAGGCCGGCGCACTGCCACCACAAAGAAGCAGGGAGCAAGCGAGGGTGGTTAGAAGTGGCTAGCCGGGGCACCGTGTGCAAAGCAGAGTCACCCTGCAGTCTAGCTCAATGCTAGCTGCATCCACTCGTACCAATTCAACATTGAACTATCTAACGACTGGTATGAGCTATGAGAGCCAGCCGAGTACTCAAAGATGCCCGAAAGACGCATGATTGTGAAATTTTCTGAGAAAGTTCAAAAGAAATAGTTCCCGATTGGGAGGCAAAGGAGATTCTCCAAATTCCAAATACAACTACAAATAGAAATACAAATTTCACTAACTGCAGCAGAGTCCATTTTACTTGGACCCATCCTGCTGCACTTCAATCTCCCCAATCCCACTAACTACCATAGTAAAACCCTGCCCCGCGTCCCATTGTAAAAGCAAGCAAGCCGCGGCGTCGGCCGGGCGTCTGTAGCGCGCGTCCCGCGACTACCGAGTACCAAGTACCTTGACTCAGGTACTGTGGCTCGCTGCAGTGTTGCTCGGGCGGCCGCGGCGACCCCCCTCAGAGCCGCTCTGGAACCTAGGGGTACACAGACAGCTACAGGCTTAGGTCGGGGCCCGTGAGGTACAGAGTGCCACCGACACCCAGCGGCAGGGACAGAGTGACGGCGGTGAGGGGCGCAGACCGGGCCCGGTGAATTCAGACGACCCCGTAGTCCGTACCCCCCGAACCCCCCGCAATGGTAGGTTGTCCCTCTCCAGCACACACATTACCCGTGACCTTCGAACACTTCAATTTCTCCCCCCCCCCTTATTTGCCCAGATTCCGCTTTGTCCAAACCACCAGCACCTCAACTATCGAAACCTCTTCCCCGATATTTTTCAATTCTGCTCGCGGCGAACCTGTCCCTTCACTGACTGGTGACTTAGGAACTCGACCGTCAGACACCTAGAAAACGCCAGGGCAGCGGCGGAAACCAAAACCAGTGGTTTCCTCAGAACCAATCTCAGAGATACATCCATATCCAGACTTTGCCAGGTGAGATCCATCACTCCTCGCCTGGGGATAGTGGAATCCACAGCAAAAGCTCGGATACAAAAGCTCGGCCGACACAACTCAGCGACGAACTTTCGGGGAAACTTCGCGAAAGAAGTTGCCGAACGAGCGGAGAAAAAATCCAGACAGGACGTTCTCCGGTTCAAAGTTTGGCAGTGCTGTTTATGAAGAAACGCTAGCCCAGAGTATTCTTGGTTAAACAATGCGCCAAGTTAGTGCGGAAGTTTGCGGCGAGTTGGCGTTATTTGACCGTCGAGCGGTAAGCTCGGCTTTGTTCCGCCAACACCGCAGTCTCGGTAAAACAATGCGCGAAACGTGACCGTCGCTCATCGATGGATCCGAATTGCCAAACTCGGGAGCCGCCCCAGCCGGGAGTTGCCCCTGCCCATCACCGGCGGGCGGCGCTAACCGCCGGCACGCCCCCATTTCGCCTGCCGACCCCGCCCCCGCCCCACCCCAGTCAGCCGTCTCAACATCAGAATCCATCGCCATTTACGACCGAGAACTTCGGAACATCGGCACACTTGGTTTCAATCGTCGGCCAAGTTGAGACGTAAATTTGCCAAAGTTGGTCGGTAACCGAGCGAAGTCAGTGGGCCGCTTCAGTCCGAGATCGTATACAATTTTCAGTGGGTCCGAGCGGCCGCGTCCAGTTCTATTTCCTGCTACCCATTACAGACTGGTGTCGGAAGTTCGGTTTGACCCCCCCCCCCCCGGCCCCGGGCACCTCCCTCCAGCTATCGGAGGCCGCGCTGAATCGGGCGGCTGACCTGGACTCATGATGCTCTGATCCAATTAGGGAGTCTCACTGGTCACAGACAGTAGCAAACTCGGATCGACAGTCGCACACGACCTCTGTGACCAGTAGCGGCGGAACATCTTCAATTAAGGGGGGGGGGGCACTGCCGACTTTTGGTCCCATTCCTTCCATACAACGCCCACAAGGCTAATGTTAAAAGGTCAAAATCAAAGGGGGGCACGGTGCCCTCCCCGTTCCGCCGCCTATGTCTGTGACCCGTCCGGCCCCGATCACTTCAACTAGAACCCAAAACCGCCACGGAGTAACACATACCTAAATCAGAGGCAAGGTCGATATAACTATCCGGCTCCATAACTAACGTAATATAATGTGCTTATCATATCTCTCCAGCGCAATTAATCCTGCACTTAATCTGTATATGAACCTGCCCACCTTACGATTCCATTTCGCGATTGTCACGTTCCCATACCATCTTCACCGTATCATACTCGTAAGTATCACCTTACTCCACCCACACTCTCCAACAAGTCCAACACACCTGCCCACCACAGGGGTAACATTGCCACATGCACATGCCACACATCAAGCCAGCCAGTCAGCGGCGGGGAGGGGTGGGGTGGGGTGGGGTAAGGGTCACCATGCCGCCAGCTGAGCTGAAAAGGTCACACATGCGCAGTGCGAGCATGCTGCTGGTGCATCTGTGCGAAAAACGAGCGTGAAAACGCGAGAAAATGCGAGACATCAAACAACAGATAGGGTGTGGCGAGCAGCGACAGAGACGGAAAGAATTGCTGAGGAATGGGAGCTTGGTTCTGCATCCGTTCGAATATAAGGGAACGAAAGGTATGATAGGAATTGGTCTAACGTGAAAAGCGTTAGATTTCCTTGCCCAAAGACGCCCTTGGGTTACATTTTTCGGTCATTGGCGACAATAATGGCCTTGAATGAGGTTCAAGGGTATTGGGCGGAACTTCATATCGCGCGGATAATGAACGCCCTCGTTCGTAGATGCCTTCGAAGGGTCATGGACGCGCTGCGTGTCCTCCAGACCCTACACTCGCTGCGCCGAGGAGAACCCAGCGACATCAGCAGAGGTTGGCTGCCCCGATCACAACCGTTCCGACTCCGCCACCGGGGGACGTGGTGCCGCCGCCGTCAGGGCTCCGAGGGTGCTCAGGGAGTGGATAGACAAGGAATACAAGGTCCCAGAGGCAGCACATGTCGGGTGCACACTGTCCATGGCATGTGTCACCCAGAGCTCGTCTTGGCGCGGAGAGGGGCGGAATTTAGGCTCCTGTCACCTTCTCTCGTGACTGAATCTGAATGTAGAAAAATGGACATAGGTATACGAGAAAAATGGGCAAAAACAATAGAGAAAAGAAAAAGGCTGAAGTATATGCTTGATGATCTAAGCAAGAAAGCGGCATGAAGCTGGGGGAAAGGCGCCAAAGATTTGGGACACCTAATATGGCCAGAAGCAGGCGAACAAGGATAAGCGAACGGCAGGTTCTTCAGGTCAGAGCTGCGAAAAAGTTCGGCAGGTATGAGATAGGCATAGCTCCGCCGAAGATGGCATAGCAAGAAGTTTGATCAGGGAAACAAGGAAGACCTCTAGCTCAACAAGAAGCCAGTAGGCGAGGCGGCGGCTCGAGGCGGACGGGGGCGGGGAGACTGGCCTGCCTGCGGTCTACTGAGCGGGATCACAGGTACCGGCAGGGTCGATGGGGTGCTCGGCCCGGTGTCTGCCGACGTCTCCAGGTCTCCGGGCTCGGCAGGATGGACCTGAGCCGGGTACTGGGGCTCCGGCTGGAGCTGAGGCTGGAGTTGCAGCTCCGGCTGGAGTTGGGGCTGGAGTTGAAGCTCCGGCTCGGGCCGAGCAGGAGGCAGATCGGGCAGCGGTGGCAGCGGCGGGAGCTGGGGAAGCGGCGGAAACCGTGGGCCGAACGGAGGCGGCGGCAGCGGCTGTTGCAGATAGTACTGCTGCTGCTGAAGGTACTGCTGCTGTTGATGCAGCTGCAGCAGATATTGCAGCTGCTGCTGTTGCTGAAGCTGCAGCTGCTGCGACTGCGGCGGGGAGGAGAGCGGAGAGTAGGATGCCGCTGGCCAGGCCCGGGGCTCGGCCGGCGGCTGCTCCGGCCCGGTGGACCACCAGCCCGGCGGCGGGTACGTCCCGGGGTAGCCGGCGGACAGGCTCTGCTGCCAATCCTGACAGCCCATCGGCAGCGGGGCGGCCGGCGCCGTCCGGGCAGCAGCCGCAGTGCCGCACCGCCGCGCCTATCCACGCCGAGACCACATCCAAACAGAACAGACAGATCAGAAGGAGACGGAGAAACAGCAAAACACCGGGACAATCGATCGAAAATTTGGCCCGAAAACTTCAACCTCGCATGCCAGCCACCGAGTTGGGAGTGAGCACACAGATTTCACATCAAGCGGTCCGCTGAGCCGGCCGTGCGTGGCTGTGGCGTTGGCGGGTGCGCCGGTGCCGGGTTCGGTGGGTGGGGGTCAGGCAGGCACGGACGGCCGGAGACCGTACTCACTTGCGCCGTGGGGAGGTGGTGGGGAAGGGAGGACGGTACGGACAGCGACGCGGCGTCGTGCGCGGAGGTCGAGTGCGCCGCCACACCCATCTGGAACAGGGGGAGGGGGCACACCGGGGCGGCAGTCAGCGACGGCGGCCAGCCCTGAGCGCGGACCACACCAGAGAGACGGCGCCAGCTACGCACACTTTCAGACACGGCCGACCGAGCCGGGCACAAATGGCACAGCAACAGCCCACAGTCGGCGCAGCTTTTACCGCAAGCTCGAACACGGAAGATATCGAATGACTAACGATACATATTAACAAACCAATGAATTATTAATTAGCACGCGGAAACCAAATCATGAGGGTAAAACATGAGGCACGCGTCTAAAAATGTGCGTATTCTGTTGCTGTTCTTGGTGAAGCGGCCCCAGCAAGCGGCGGTTAGAGCCGAGGTGAAGCGAACGGCGGACCACAAACGGCAAAACAAAAGCCGGAGACTTGTTACAGTTACACACGAAAAAAATCTAGAAAGTGAGCTTACCTCAAACAATTCTTCGGCAAAAGTCTTTGTGGTATTATCGGTCCAAATTTTGCTAAAAGTGGTGAATAAGTGACATTTTGTATCGCTTCACCTCGGCGCTGACTCCCCAGGCGATTAGCTGCCGCGGCTAGCGAGCGCAGGCCGCCGCGCGAGGCAGGGACACGGGACCGGCGACTTGTAACGGGGATTACACCAGCAGATGGCCACATACCGACACACCGTGACTACAATCCGCCATCCACCTGCCGTTACCAGTCGCGCCTCTCGTCCCAGCCCGCGCGGCGGCCGTGTGGGTCAGGTCAGGTCAGATCAGGCCGGGTCAGGTCAGCAGGTCTAGTCACCATCCCCGGTCACGACACTCACCCCCCGCTGCATCTGGGCTGGGTAGTAGCTGCTGGGAGCGCCGGGTGCCGGCAGGCCGGGCGCGCCGGCGCCGTTCAGGCCGTCGCCGTACGAGGCCATCTTCAGGTACTCCTTGTTGACACAGTTGCGCAGGTTGTGTCCGACGATGTAGCGCCGGATCTCTGTGGCTGCCATCTCTCGCAGTTCGCTGAACGACGCCTCTGAGTAGTACGAGGCGTGCGGCGTGGCGATGATGGTGTTCTTTACCTCCTTCAGCGGACCTGCCGTGAGATAGGGGGGGGGGGGGGGGGGGGGTGAGACGGGTTCAGGGGAGGGAGGTGTGGACGCCGCGGCTGTGGACTGTGAGCTTTGAGCTGTGAGGAAATTTGAAACATCGCGGGAGATACAGACCGTAGAGTGTGCGTCCGTGTCTTCGTCGTTCCATGTTTTGAATCTGTGGCCGTCGCTGTTGTCAGTACAGCCAAGCCATAGCCCCACACAGCCAAGCCCCACACAGCCAAACCATAAGCCCCACTCGTCTGCCAGAACACTAACGCTGGCCCAGTCCACACTAGGTTCAGCGACGACCGTTTAAGGAAACGAAATGTCCATAGCGACCACTGACGGTCCCACTTCGGGGCGTCACTTCCCCCAGCCCGCCGCACCCCCGTCCCCGCACTACAATCTCCAGCACTACCTCCCCCAACTCCTCCCCAACATAGTCAACCAGTCCCCGCACAGTCCAGTAAACCCGTCCTCCACAGCCCCAGCTCGACCCGACAATAGCCACTGCGCCTGACCGGTGGTCACTGGTCATACTACGTCACAGAGCCAACCCGCACTGCTTGCAGCGCTCAGGGGCGGACCCCTCCTCCCCCTCCTCCCAGCGCGACGGCACGACACACCCTCCCCTCCCCTCCCCTCACGGCGACCTCCAGTTGACGTAAGACACCCCACCCCGCCTGCCCGGCGCCATGGCTGCCCAGTGTTTGGATCCACCCGGCGGCACTGAGGGTGTACCGTCGTGTCAGCCGGCGCGTGGCGCGGACGGGTGCCGTCACTGGTGGACCGGGGAACGGCCAGGCGCGGAGAGGTTGTTTATTAATTGGGGCTTTAGGGCGCGCCGACTACTTAGGTCATTTTGCGCCCATCAGGCGCGGAGAGGGCAGATACTGTTTGAGCGATGGTCCAGGATGGTGAAGGGTTGTGGTTTTATTACACCAGTCGGTACATGCATGGTAAATTGCAGTTGTGGGTCGGTGAGCTGACTGGAGATATATCCTGGGCAATCAATGACCATTCCTTTACACTTTCTCAAAGCTTTTAGGTGACCCAGATATTCATGAGCGCGAGAATATGGATGAATATGCGTGCCAAGTTACCTCTAGCGCAATGGGTATGACAAAATACCATAAAATATCCATATAATAACCGCTAAAGCGCAACACCCCACTGCCACCTCCCCGTAGCGCGTCGCGGCAGCCTTACCGAGGAAGATGTTGTTGGGCTCGTTGGTGTGCACGTCCAGGGCAGCTGCTCGGATCCGGCCCTCTTTGAGCGCCGCAGCCAGGGCCTCTTCATCCACCAGACCGCCGCGCGCTGTGTTCACCAGGAACGCGCCTGGGAGGGGTGAACGGGGGGTCAGAGAGGTCAACTCAGGAAGTCGGACGGTCAAGACGGGATAACAGTCTAAAGGGGTCACTGAGTCCGGAGATTAAACGTCATACGAGTTCAGACCGAGTTAGTCGAATAGGATCACCATCAACCAGCTTTAGAATGGTGAAAAGGGGTTACTTACATCACAGCACAAGCAATGAGATTCAGCATTGAGTTCGACCATGACAAACAGATTCTGCCTTCATTCATCCATCTTCACACACCAGCGTATTTACACAAAGGACAAAACATAGCAGCCTTACAAATCCATAATCGAACTAGGTCACAGTCCTTGCTGCACCACCAGTCACAACCGAACTCGTACTGAAATAACCCAGACCAGTAAAAACGGGCCAAACAAACCGAATCAGCTCTACGTGGTCGGCACAGGGTGGCGGTTCTTATTTATCTACAGTGCTGGGGACGCTCGTTCAGCTTTCAGTTGATCCTAATTGGACTCCACCCCTTCAAACTTCATTTATCAAACGCACCCAGCCGTCAGAACGTTCCCTCAGTCCCTGCAGTCTGACCGACACCGCTCCTGTCCCGGCAGTAACCACAGCTCCCCTCTCTCTCCTCCCTCCCTCTCCCCTCTCAGCCGCAGCGACACACACGCGCGACCCAGACGGGCTGCTCCACTGTTTATCAGTCAGTTCGCAGAAGGCCGGAAGCTCACAGCGACAAAAACACATCTGGTCGAGAAGCTGGGCGCAGAGCAGTCGACACCCCCCCCCCCCCCCCCCCAGCTATCCCCCCCACTCCCCCCACGACATACACATACACAGCCGTCCAGCCCTGGTCAGTGTGGTCACTCAAGTCAGCCTAAATAAAAAATGCTGCCATACAATCAAACACAGAAACCCAAATCCAGCAGCGAAGCCTCACAAATCGGTCACAGAGAATGGGTAAGGACTAAGGACCACAGCTGATCCGCAATGCTCACCTGGCCTCATCTGTTTGATGGTGAAGTCGTTGATGAGCCTGTGGTTGTGCTCGTTGAGTGAGCAGTGAAGGGTAACACAGTCTGACTGGTACAGAAGCTCCTGTAACACACACACAGACATACAAACACCGGTCAGAGCAGTCACACAACGGGAAACGTGCCTACGGGGGAAGCACGAACGACGCAGTGGATGTGGATTGTGGAGCCACCGAGCGGAAATGTAAACACGCAAGACGAGGGGAGCTCAAACATGTGTTTCAACTCGTGCCACAATGTTCAGCATTCGGGAACAAGCTGATTGATATTCATTGCGATACTGGTGCATCTACCATACATACGTTAGCACACATTTACAGCCCTCCCTTCCTTCCCGCCCACCCATCCCTCCCAGTCCAGTGGTCACTTCAGCCCGCGGCGTCATCACACAGCAGTCATCATGTACCCGGCGCCTGGTGACATCCCCCGTCCCCTTCCCCAGCTGAGATCATCAGCAGTATCGACCGAGTCCCTCCCCTCGGCAGGGTGGGTGACCAGTCAGTGTCCCCTTCTCGTCATCACAGGGGGAGGGGCTCAGCACACCGCTGGCCCGGTCCTGACAGGGGGACATCACTCACAGCCTCCCGGTCTGCCAGACCAGCCCGGACCGCGCCCAGTCGGCACCATTCAGAGAGTTACTGCCGCGTCCCCTACCCATACCCAGTCTGCTCCACACAGCGGCAGAACAAACCCTCTCCCTGCTACCGACCCCTCCCCCCGTAGCGCCCACCCAGACTGCGGCTGACGTCAGCAGCTCCGCTCCCCATCACCCCTCCCCTCCCCTCCCTCACCCGTCCGCCATTCCACACCATTCCCCGCCCCCCGCTCCTCTGCAGTGTCAGCCCCCCCCCCCGGGCGGCGCTCCGTCGCAGGGCCGGCCGGAAGTCCCCCCCCCCCCCCGCCGTCACCTCTGGCCGGGACGAGCGGCGCCGGCTCGTTACGGGCTCGACAGAGACGGAGAACGGTCGCGATATCACCCCGCCCCTCTGCCCGCCCTGCTCCAGCGCTCTGCCCGCGGAGAGCGCAGCTGACCCGGTGACCTGGCCGGCGCCCATGTGACCTTTGATCCGATCAATACCGGGTCGGCCGGGCGGGAGCGCTGCTGAGCGAGACGGCCGGCGTGGCAAGGCCGTCCGACACTGACACATCGACACGAGTGGGAGAGGGGAGGGGAGAGCGCCCATGGAAGGGGAGGGCGCCCTTGGAAATGAAGGGCATCCACAGAAAAGGCCGTTCTCTGCAGAAAGGTCTCCATTGGAATACGTCACGTCACGAGAGGGAAACCTGCGGGGGCGGACAACTCTTTCAAATTCAGCTGGCAAAGGTCACAGCCGGGTTTTCGTCACTCAAACAACGGAAACTCGTCAGCAGCTGCGACCTTCCGGCCCACCCCCGGTCCCGACCCGGTTCGACCTCTGAACTCCAGTCACAACTAATCCCAAACCACGCGGCCCGGGGCGATTTCTTTCCGCAGCGCGAATCATTCAAACTCCTGATAAAGGCAGGGTGGATGGTTATGCAGGGATGAGGGAGCAGGAAGGTGGGCCCAGGTCCCGAGATCACCGCCCCTCGCTGCCCTGAGTCCCTGAGCCGAGAATACACCAGCGGTCTGGACAAACTTCCCGGCACTCGGCGGAGTTTTGACAGCGGCTTTGGACGCCACTTTTAGCCGGGAATCATCCCAGCCACCAAGCTGCTTTGCAAACAGGGTACTTGGTAACCTCTGGCAACGTCTAATAACAGAAGTGCCAGCACGGCTCACCCTGCGATAGCGCGGACCGCACTTTACCTCACTCCTATCAACTAGAGAGTGCAAACTTCAGCAAGGACGGCTGGCTGACCCTCCGACCAACCACTCGAGTCTCGACATCGGCACCCAGTATCGATAGCTGATAACACCTTCATCGCATACCTCCCGCGGCCGGATCAACGGAGCGACCTCGACCAAAGAGCAAGGTCTTCTCAGCCTCCACACCCACTCCCTATACGAGACACGAGTCTCTGCCGCCGCCACTGTCGGCAACAACTCCACCGTGCCCGCACGTCCTTAGCTCCTGCTCAGCCGCCTCGTTCCCATATACCTACAAATCCTACCTTCGTTCCACATCCCTCACCTCTACACCTTCCTCCCTTTATCAGCTTTACCCCGTCTCCCGTCTTCGTCCCATTCGCCTACGCCCTTTGTCTGTATCCGCCTCCCTCCGCCTCTTTCTTCTTCCAACCACCTCTCACCACCCCCGCCGTCTCTCACCTGGAGTGTGAAGACGCGCGTGATGCCCAGCGCCCGGTCGATGCCGTCCTGGATGTACGGGTCGTAGAAGTAGACGGCGAAGCCGAACGCCTTGGCCCGCAGCGCCACCGCCTGACCGATCTTGCCGAGGCCCACGATACCCAGCGTGTCGCCCCGGATCCGCGCTGAACCGTTCGCCGCGTCTCGGATCTGTCAGAGGTCAGACAGCGGGTCAGAGGTGGGTCAGAGGTGGGTCAGAGGTGGGTCACGGGTGGGTCACGGGTGGGTCAGACGGGGTCACCGGTAACGGCAGGAGTGGAGGGAGCTGAGGAGGGCTGAGCAGGGGAGGGGCTCAGCTCAGCAAAGGTTGAGAGGGGAATTCAAGAACATAGTGTGTGGTCATCAGCAGAGAAAAGTTGGCTATTTCGTCTTAGATGCCTATTAGGTCCCCTATAGGGGACCTATTTCTCCTGGGACCAGTTATTATAGCCAATAACGCACATAAAATCGATTGGCAATACCCATTTAATACTTGGAATCGGTAATATTGTTTCCAATCCATGATGAATAATTATCAAAGCACTAAAGTTGCCAAGATAAACACTTTCAAGCTTCAAAGGTAAACATTGCGGTCTACAGCACTGCTAAAACATGGCCTTTGTAATAACAAGACAGGTTTTCCTCAGCTTCAGATTGCTGCTGGCGTATGAAAATCGCATTATAGTATGCTTGCGACATGATTCACCAACCGTAAAGCAGCAAAACCACATCCTTGAATGCACCATGCATGAAACTCAACACCATCCTAGTTCGTGAAGGCATTTTGTGCGGGGCGCCACTCCCAGCCAGCTTTGAAGTTTGAGCCCTTCCCTCACCACCGCGCCCGACCTCCAACCCATGGCATTCGGCGGCACTGCTGCTGTCGTGGAGGGCCCACCGGGCCTCCCGGGGTCACCGGTAATTCGATAGCGCCGGCCCGAGTTTCATCCAGTGCTGGGCGTCAGCGGCGGCGCGGTGCCGGCGGCCCGGCCCGGCGCGGCGCTCCCCAGGCGCCGCCAACTTCCACGGCGCCCAGAGTTATTCCCATTCGATCCCGGCCAAACTTTCGCCGAAAGCAGACAACTTGAAATTACACAAGTTAGCTGGCCTTAAAACTTCGACAACTGCACAGGCAGTTTGCTCGGAAGTTATCGAAAATAATAGTTGAGCCAAGTTCGGTAATCAAAGTGGGCAGAGTTTTAATGGCAAGTTTCCGCAGGCGGCGAAGACACTACAAACAGTAAAGTTGGAGTCGGGCGGCGCGTCCCGCCGCACCAGCGGACCTCTCCTCCCCTCTACTCCTCCCTCTGCTCTCGACCCCAAAAACTAACTGCAGCTCGACGGCAGAGATTCCTGTCATACTTCAGAGGTGGGTGTCTTCATTTGTGCATTGCGAGGAATAGCTATGAAGGTTAAAAAATAAAATAAAACAAAACTTGGGACTTAGAACAAACCAAACACCAAGCCATCATTGTCGCCCTGTGGAACTAGAAACGCCCACCTCCCCTGCCACGCCCACTCTAGGCCACGCCCACCACCACCCTAGCCGGAGGAGGGGGGGGGGGGGGTCCACTGCCGTCCGTATCCTCCCACACTCGGTCTGAGAGAGCGCCGTAAAGCCGTATGATAAGCGGCGCCGCCCCTCGCCGCGCCGGGTAGACACTCAGTTTATGGCCTCATTCCACAGCTATTCCAGATAACAAAGGGCACCAGGCACGGGAGCTGAGACACAGTCGAACTGAAAGGGTGAAATGTGCACACCCATAGCTGACCAAGTGGGTGCCGCAGATAAATCTGTTGATACGATGCAGCTCATTCAAGGCAAAAAAAAAAGATAAAAAATTGTTTTCCTAAAGTTGTCGTTGTTTTTGTTCGAACTTACTATGGCGAAAGCATGCAAAGTTGCCGTGTATATTTCTAGCCTAGTTAAACTATCAAAGTGTATTTCATTATACAGACTGGTGAATAGGTATAATCAAAGCAGAGTATGTTTAGGTATACCTGCTGGCAAGTTAGAGAGAAAACAGTCTGGGATATCAACAACCGTACCGCACTGCACTGGGTGAAATCCCTTCCCGCACCTGATCATTGGAGCGTGCAGACGCTCAAATTTAAATATAAAACGTCAAACAGAGTGAAGGTGTGGCGTGCGGTTCATAAACCCAAATCAACAGACAGTCAATGAACACCAATTAATGAGCCACTTAAATCGACGACCAATGTCATCAGACTTCCGTACACAGCAGTGCATTGACTGTGAGAGCAGTTCCATTGAGCTCGAGTGTAATCCGTTGCCGATTTCGACGGCGAAGAAGTGTTTGTGGACAAAAACTATGGCTAAACAACGTCGTGATGTGACGCCAGCCACCATGAGCCACGAGTCAGAAGCTGCTAGAACTAACGTCCGTCCGTTATTACGTGATAGTAGGGCTATTTCGAGCCCGTTAGGTTGGCCAATAACAATGATCGGGTGCCGATTGATAATGTGCGTGGGTCAGTCTGGTTCCCTGGATCAAGGAAAGATGCAATAAAAGGGTGTTCTCTCGCACCGTTAGAGTTATTCCCATGCTAGTGGGCCAATCCCGTATTGCTCCCATATGCCGTTTAGGGAGATAGTTCCCGTGTCCCGCCTCACTGGGGTTGTCCCGTTTAGTTGAGTCACCCTCGACGCTAGTAGCCCCTGTGTCGTTCGCTTGTCCCGTCCGTCAACCCCCCCCCCCTCCCCCTTCCCTTGTCCGCCGACGGCCGAGTCACCTATTGATCGCCTCCCCCGCCCCGCCCACGGACTGGGGATGGGGGGGGGGGTCAGTGGACCAATATGGCCGCGCTCCACGGCTCCAAACAGGTGTTCCCGGGGGAGGGGGAGGGGGAGGGGGAGGGGCAGGTGTGCTCGTCACCCGGGAAACGAGCGTGCGGAACGCGACGGCGACAGCAGTAACAAGTGCTACAACACAGCGCGATTTGTATCGGCTACACAGAGGGCACACAGCCGGCCAGCGGGGTGAGGGCTGTCAGGAAGGCTAATAATCGTAAACGGACTAAGGGTTAATCGTGTAGAGGAGTGTAGATACTAGCATTACTTATTATCTAATATTTGGTAGGTGGTTCAGTGCGGTATCTATCATCGCAGCATGAGTGCTGTTTTTACTGACTGTCGGTCTCTGGGTGGCCCCAGCGGCCCACAAGGAACTAGTTACCGGCGATTCACATGAAGCGAACCAAATCCAGGAATCGCTCTGCCCGATAAAGCGAGAAGCGGGAAGTGAAGTCAAGCTAGGGTGATCAGATCACGGCCATGGAAAACAAATGCCAACTTCGATGAATAAATCCAGGAAGCGCACACAAAATGAATTCCAAACAAAACAAACTGCACTTATAAGCTTCGATAAAAAGTGCCAGACTACTGCGTCCAGCCCAAGGGGCCCGGACAAAGGAATAATGCCTCGGTCTTTTGAACGCAGTTTGAAATGTGCCTTGCATCAGCAGTGAGCGATGCTCTTTCTAGTTCGATACACGCTGCAAATGCTGCCTCACGGCACATTAGTTTACAAGGAAATCAGGCAGAACTGCCATTCCGCATACGTGTTACCTCAAGTTCACCCCCTCACCTGCTATCTCTCATTGAACTTGCCCTGCAGTCCACATCCTCATTTCAAATATCTCAGAAGTCAGTACACTGCCGCGCTTCCGCACATATACGTGCCCCAAAGCGGCATGGTGCCACATCCCCATCTCACATATCGAATTCCCTGCCGCCTTTCACCTCCCCCATCCGCCGAAAAACATCCCTAGAGCACTCACCGCGTCTGGGCCCATGAACTTTTTGTCTTCTGCCACCATGCGCGCAAGCCAGTAGGTCCGCCGGTAGAGGTTCAGGATCATACACATGGTCGAGTCGGCCACCTCCTCCACAGAGTAGCCGGGCACGTTACACACGTGAATGCCGAGCTCGGCCGCCGCCTGCAAACAGGCGCAAACGCGCACACATACAGTCAGCGGGTTCGACGGCGACGCAGAGGGGTGGGAGACGGTGGACATGCTAGCCTGATATTTACGCCATTAACTAGACACGGGACAAAAGAGGACACACTTCGAGAAACCTTGATCATCTATTTAATTAAGTTCCAAATACGGGATTCCCAAATCCCACGCAGGGTTCCCCGATCAGTTTGAAATTCACAGCGTCATTGGCAGCGCCGAACAAACGACCGCACACCGGCGGCCGCCTATCGACTCCAACCGCTCGTCGAGCGTTGGTAAGTACTGGTCAGAGAGTTATCCCCCGCCTATGGCTGCAAGGTCAGTCCGACTGCCCCGTCACCCTGCCCGACTCGCTCCACCACCCCTCCCCACCCCTCCCCTCTCGAGGCAGACAGAGGACAGTGTCGAAATGCCGCCGTCACGTCTCGCTCGGGCTCGGTTCACACGCGGCGGTCCTCGGCACAGCGCGTTCCAGTTCGCCGCCGCACGGCACGGATTTCCTTTGGCCGCGCGGCTGACAGGGAAGCCCACGCCGTGTCCGCCGGACGTTCCGCGCGGACTCGCAGCGGAGTGCGGACTCGGCGGGGAGGAGAGGGCAGCCCGTGATGTGACTCGTAACGCTCCACTATCAGGGAACCCCCACCGGCACACCCTGTCGCGCGGACCCGCTGACCTCGCCCGATAGCACACTCCGTACAATACTGCAGCCAACGCCATACAACACTGCATTCCTTTGTTAGGGAGATCGTGCGAATTCCAGCTGCACCACAAACACCAATACCGCCGCGCCGATCACCACCCGACACCAGGCCGGTATCACCAATCTCCACCACATTCAGATACCGGTCAATCGAGACAAGGCGTTGTTGATTGCTGGGCCAGTCGCCAGTAGATTAAACTCACGGGCAACTTGTGAGTTGGAGTCGGGTATGACTCAGTTCGGTTATTCCATCATTATCGTTATCAGTCCGCGACCACACCGGCTTTTAAACCGTTAGTGTTTCCTCTCTGTCGCTACTGTGTCCCGTGCTGCAACCCATTCCAGTTTGGCTGTTGTTGGCCGTACTCACCCATTTTTCGGTTGCGCTCCTCATCCGCCACAACCGTGGGTGAGACGACGTCGGACGAGAGAGGGAGAGAAGTAATAAAAAAAAAACGAAAAAGAGACGGAGGAGACAATGTTGAGGACATTGGCGCCGTTGGGGATGGGGGGTGGGAGACGCGCCACTCGCGGCCCGCCTCTGTTGTCACCGTCGTCCCCTCTCACTGACTGACGTCTGTCCTCTCGTCTCCTCCCTCGCCCTCCCCGCCCTCGCCCCTCCCCACGGACTGCCGCTCCCCAACCCACCTCCGACCCAGCTGGTCTTCACTCCAGAGGGGCCACTAAACTTTATTAGGGGACCCTAATACAGATTACCGGGCGGCGGGACTGGGTTTGCCACCTGCCTCCCCCCTCCCCTCCCGCCGGCGCAGCCTGGGAGAACGGCTCAGTTTGTTCCCAGCCGGCCGACGGGGGCGCGCCGTTCGTGGGAGAAGTACAGGGCCCGTGGGAACTCCCGCCGCACGATGACGCCGCCGCCCGAGCCGCCCGCCTGTCATACGGGCGTCACCGCCGCCGCCGCCGCCGTCACCGCAGCTACCATTGGGAAGGCTGGGGGAGAGAGGGGAGGGGGAATATCGAGCCGCAATGCGGGTCGCCGGGGAGGGCCGACGGTTATCGACGGACCCTCGTAGAGTTCTGCACGGCTGCAATTTTCCACAGCCTAGCCGCCCCGCAGCCATGGCTCCACAGCCACAGCCGCCCACAGCCGTGGCAAACTGTGGGCAGCCAGCCGTCAGCCGGCCGTGGATACTTTCAATGAAATGCAACCAAATAGTATATATAAGTTGTTTTTAGTTGAAACATATAGCCAAAAGCACATTGCAATGGGCTATAGATTCTCAAGCTCATGAAGCATCATAGGTTAAGTGGTTGTGTATCTGGCTTTAGGCCGAAGGCCTGAAGCCTGATGCGCATCGCATGCTTACACAAGCCCTTGCAAGGGGTTAAGAAAGATGGGTAGGTAGGTACCTACATCAACAGAAAACATAAACAACGAACCAGAATAGAAGCACTAGCAGTGTAGACATCTAATGCCAAATCCTGAAGCATGGTTGTGGGACAGAACAACAGACCCTGATGCTTTTCATTATCAATGTTAGGTATGGAAAATGAAACTGAAGTTGATGGACTGTCAAACAGTGATTGTCTAGTCAAAACTCTTGCTTCTTTCTCACCTTGCATATTATTTGGGGTGTGATATGCCAGGCTTGAAGCAGCCTTCTGAGCAAGTCTCAAATACTAATTTGATATGCAAGGCATCACAACACTAGTGAGCATCCAAGAAAGAAAAACATTCATCTATTTTGATTTTTCCAAATAATGATCTTCGCTCAAATCGTCAAGGACGTGCGAGCCACAAGTGCCTCTTTCAATCAAAAATTTTACTTCAGTTTTTAATGACGTCAATAGCAAAGAAGTGGCAATGAATTGTTTTGTGTCACTATAAACAGCCATGAAAAGTATAAATAATAAATAATAATGCTATACAACTAAAAACTTGCTCTCAAACAAAGATTAATGGTCAAATTTTAACATTTTTAGAAGAAGATGTCATTTTATTAGTAAAGTCAACAGCTCGCGTAAGAAATATTGTGTTCAGGGTTTTCACCGTCATGTGAATTACGTGTTCAGGGTTTTCACCATCATGTGAATTAACCGTGAGTAGGGTTCATGCTCACTTGTAATCTAATTCCATTGGCTTCTTTGATCAGCATTTTCTGTTAGCGGTCACTCACACACCAGTTAGAACATAAAACGCCAGTTTTATATTATGTAATTGGACTTGCCGAAAATCCAGAAATACGTCTGTTATTTTAGATAATATTTTATGAAGCCTTTACCTGCCTTTACCTAGGCGTGATTTCTTTTTCTATTACCTGAAAGAATTATTGAACGCTCGTCTTCAATAGCTGTAAGGTGCTCTCCTAATGACCAGGTGAGATTGATTTGAGAGGGATGTGACAATGCAACATGTTGCATTTTCTGAAACTGCCAAGCTCTTGATGATGAAGGAACAATTGGTACATATAATTAGTATTCTGTACCAGAGTGCAAACTCCCCTACAGCAAATGGTAAAACCATTACAGGTTTTCAAAGGCTTCACCACTTTCAATGTTGCTGGGCATCCTTTGCATGATTTTTACAGGCTAGACTGCTTATCAGAATGTAAGATTAAGGATTTAAAATTTTATATTTTGATTTGAGTACTTAAGATTGAGCTTGAAATCTCACAGCCGTGGCCACAGCCGTAGCCGTGTTCATTGAGATATTTGCAGCCGCCCCGGCCCACAGCCGTGGGGCTGCAGCCAGCCGCGGCTGCAGCCGGCCGGTGCAGACCTCTAGACCCTCGTATCGGGTCTGCTGGCAAGGTCAGCCGAGTGTCGATGAACTGGGGGGACCGAGAGACCGCCGGGTGGTGGGATCGGGCGGTTGGAATTAGAGCTAATGACGGGGGATAACAAGACTAGATGGAGTTGGAGCGGAGGAAGGGATTGACTTTCAATCTTGAACGGTTGGAATGGCGCCGACATACGGCGCGAGATTAGTCGTGGGATTCTAATAGCGTGAAATACGCGCTCACATTGCATTACAAATCGCTGCGTAATACCGGCGTCACTGGTCGTCAGCAACCTTCAGCGGCGGGGTTCGGGTACATGACCGCTGCCGCCGCCGCGGCTGCCGGCAAAACCAGTTCCTGGGTCGGCGCGGCGGGCGGCGTGGCGCCATCTTCAGCCATGACATACCGCCCGCCGGCCAATACTGCCACCAACCACCGACCAGACAATGGCCTGCCGTCCCGCACCCCCCCCCCCCCCCCCCCCCTCCCCTCCGAGCGCGCCTCGTCCTGGCCGGTGACGAAATCAGTACATCGCGACCAGCGTCTGCCCCGGCACCCGCCAATCGATGGCCGCGCGCAAGCAGGGCCTATGTCGGCGACCGGCGCGGTCGCGCCACTCAGTGGTAAGAAGGGCCTAGGACGGCTGCAATCTATCTGGTGACGCGGCGAAAACCGAGCCAGGCAGTGAGCGCGCCACCAACTCGGAGCAGCCCGGGAGGAGAGGGGAGGGGAGGGGGAGTGGTCAGCGGTCGGCGTCTGCTCTCCTCTCTCCCTCCTCCCCTCTATCCCTCTGAGGAGCCGGATGCAAGCTGTGTGACGCACGCCACGGCCGCGGAGCTATAAAGCCTCCGATCGATAATCAACAACCCTGCCGGTGGCAGGGCAATGTTACTGTTAGTGGTCCACTACTGACCTCAGCACTACTACAGCCTCATAAAAACTAACACTGCCTTACTTTCCACATTCCGTTGGTTCTATTTACATCACCGCGACTGTTTCAATGACGGCGAATTCGCCCGGTGAATTACCGCCGACCGCATTACCAATGAATGCAGAGATAGCTGCCGTCCGTGGGACTCTGCATGGGAATTTCTCGCCGTCTGGCGGCGCCGGGTGCCGGCTGGCCGCACCGGAGCTCTCCTTCCGATCCTGTCTGTATTTCTCCGGTCGGGTCGGCGGCGCGCCGGGAGACGGCGGCGCGCGCGACAGACAATGAATCAATATGGTCGCCCGCCCGACCAACCAACCAACCGACCAACTGGGCCGGGAGAGAAACCCGCCAGCGACACAAATACTCTCAGCATCGAGCCGACAGACAGACTATTGACCAAGGCAGCCACCGCCGCACAGCCGCTTACGTAAGACGGCGCGGTTCGCAAGCAGCCTTTGTTCCCCAACACTTCACCGCACTTTTTGGAACTTGAGAGCTAATGTTGCAGTACCACGAAACTATACCGTACCGAAACTCCCAGATTAAAATTGTTTGAAACTTACGCTTACACACACACGAGTGTAAAGAATGTGTAACTGATAGCGTAAGGAAACGCAGGGGCCTAACGCTGACGTAACTGATTGAAATTTGAAACGCTGCATAAATTGATTCAGCAGTAGCCTACCGGTTACCCCATTACCAAGTACTACCACTGTCGATTTCAACCCTATTCAATGAAGCGCGGGCTACCACAGTCCACACGATATTTCCATATATGGACACGAAGCTCGAGGAAACAGCTGGGGCGATACAAAGCCCCCCCCCCCCCTCCCACCTAGAGTAAACTAGAACGCGGAACGGGGGAGAGCTAGAATAACCCCACTGAAATAGTTCCACTCTTGAAATTGGCGGCTGCTTACTTAGACACGATAAACATCGCTTCCGGCCATAATTACCAACGACCCTACAACAAGCATTTGTTGTAGGGTCTGTCCGTGCTTTGACGTGAGTGAATGTGTGAATGCTGTGAATGTTTAGATTAGTAACCGCGGATACGGATTCTGAGCAGTAATCGCCACGCACTTTCAGAATGTGGATCGCTCATGATTGTTCAATACAAATACAAATACAAGCAGTTCAACGGGGTTGAATCCCATTTCCTGCCCTCCTCTGAGGTTGAGGATGCAGGGGAGGGTGTCTGAGCACACACCGCGCCGGTCGACGGTCGCCAAGGTCGGCATACCAAGGCCACGCCTGCCACCAACTCGCCAGCCCCCCCCCCCCTCGTGACCTAGCCCGTCCCGACGCGTGACCCATCCCTGATCGGGATGTTACTCGTATCACTATCACCCCTTCCCTATATTCCACTCTACCTCGCCCATCCCCTCCCGTTTGGTCGTCTGTTTTCTCTGCGTATCATAAAAGCCTACGACGCTCGACTATTGAATATTTTAGCGGAGCGAACGGCCAACACCGGGCCTCAAATCTCTGTTGCAGCGAGCTTGTCGTGGCGTCTGCGGCGGCGGCGGCGGCGGCGGGAATAAAATAGAAGAGTGGAGGGGCGGAGAGAGGGCCGGGCGGCGCAGCGGGAGGACACGATCAGCCAACTTGTTCGGCGGCGGCGGCGGCGGCGCGCAAGTTAGCCCGTGTCGCCGGGAAGTTGTGCCCTAGTTGGCGAGTTGTGCAGAGTTGTTGGCACTGTCGACGGCGACTCCGATTTCCGAGCGGCGACACCTGAGCCGCCCCCGCCCCCGCCCCCGCCGCGGGAGGGCGGGCCAGGCGGGCGGCAGACTTTCTCTGACCGCCCGGCCGGGTCAGTCACGACAGAACGTGTTTCCAATACCAGAGGAAAGACAACGCAACTTCGGAATGACAGCCGAACTTTGCAAAATCACGCTCCAAACTTTCGAAATCACGTCCAACAAAAAGTCGGCCCTCATAAAACAAGTAAGAAGCAAGCCACCAGCCTTATATTGTATCACTTTATCAAACTAAAACAAGCAAGAATCACTTCATAACTTCTGTGTCCATTTCTCAGTCTGTGCGAACGCCTTTTGTCGCTGTTTTCAGTCACGCCACTGTCAGCGGCCTCCGATGACGCCACCAGTCCTGATGACGTGGCTGGTATCGCTGACGCGGCGCCGCCGCGCCACCCTCCGTGCTGACGCGCGCGCTCGGTACACCTCTCGTCAGCAGTCAGCACGCAGCATCAGCACTAAGCGCACTTGGCGGTGGCAGCGTCAGCCCAGCAAACGTCAGCTCAAATCGGAGCAGCAGCCGTGTGTCATAACTCAGGCCGTAGTGAATGAATATAGGAATGATAACCTCAGAGAGGGACAGCTGTCATTCTTGTCAGCACAACTTCGTGTCAGAGGACACGTTCAAAAGGACACGCTCAAAGGACGGCCAAGTTCATTACAAACTCTTCCCTAATGAAGTTCCCGTATCAACTATCAGTTTTACAACTTGTCGACCCAAGTTCAGCGCAAACTTGGCGCCAAGTTGGCAGGCTCGTCAGGCAGAAAATGTTTGTTTGGCCACCGGAGTACTTTCCGCGCCGCCGATCTCCAATAGCAGTGTGCAAACACCGAGTGGAAGTCCCTATCTTGCAGACGGGCACCTGTGTAGACTCCCCCTCCCTCCCGTGGGGGTGATACCGCCTCGCTGACAGGTGATCCCTCTGAGAGGGGGAGGGGGGGGGGGGTCAGTCGCTGACCGAGCGGCCCGTCAGCATCCCTCACTGGGCGCACCCTCCGCCATCGACCCTGCGCCGTCCGCCGTCCGCTGTCCTCGGCCGCTGTCACCCCGGATACCGGCCAGGTAGGAGGGACGGGGAGGGGGAGGGGAGGGGAGGGGAGGGCCGTCCGCCGCCGGTAGCCGCCCCACCGCCTGATACGCCGCCAGACAAAGGCCAGGCCGGCCCGTCAACCCAGCCGCAGGCCGGCCGCGCGCGCACGTAGGCCGTTCTTGCGCGCGGTGCTGCCGCGGCGTCAGAGGCCGGGAGCGCCGGTGGGGGAGGGGGAGGGGAGGGGCGGCAGGCCGGCCGAACCGGACTGGGCAGGGCGCGCGGAGCAGCACCGGCCGAGTCGGGAGGAGCATCGATCACACTGAGAGCAGAGGAGAGAGAGGAGGGGAGAGACGGAGAGAGCAGCGCGTCCCACCGGACAGAGATGGTCAGTCAGTTGGCGGCGGCCACCCCCCCCCCCCCCGTGAGTCACCCGCTCCTGCCCGGGACCGGGGACGCCGCCAGCCTGTCAGGAATAGTCGCCGCCGTTGCACGTCGCAGCGTCACCAATTTTAGCCGCGGCGCATCGTCCCCACCACCCCTCCCTCCCCGGGACCCATACCGATCCCCTCCCCCGGTCGTTCAACGGGCCGCTCGCCGCGTGGTCATTCGAACCGGACCGGCCGTCTTTGTCCGCAGAGTTTTTCTCCATCGATCCGGTCGACCGGACCTCTCCCCTCCCCCTCCCCCGTCCTCCGCGCGCACCGGCCGGGGAGGTGGGTGGCCGCCGCCGCGCCGCAGCGCGCTGACCACGTGGTCGGCCGAGACGTCACCTTTGGCCGCGCGCGCCGGTGCGCCGCCGCCGCCGCCTCCGCGCCGCTATCGTCACCGTTCTCACGGCGCCACACCAGCGTGCCACTAATGCGCCGTCTAACCTGCCCAACTGACCGTGGCGGCCACGGTTCCCGCCAGCCGGTCTCACGGCGATCCCCTCCCTTCCTCCCTCCCCTCTCCAAACTCTCACGGCGCGGCGTCCTTGCAACTCAGCCCTCCCCCACCCCTCCCCACCCCCACGCTAAACGTCCGGCACCAACTTGGCGCCGCAACTTGGGCACGTCGTCATCGTCATCGTCATCATCGTCGTCGTCGACGACGTCGTTCTCACCTTGGTGTCGATGTTGTCGACGCCGCTGCCGACACGGACGATGATCTTGAGCGCGCGGAACTTTTCCAGGTCGTCCTTGGTGAGACTAATGCCGTGCCACATCAGGGCGCCGACGGCCTCGTTCAGCACCTGGGCAGAGAGGGGAGCAGAGGTCAGTCGGGGCAGAGTTGGAGGGGGTGGGAGGTTTGGAGTGTTGGACGTGAGGGAATGCGATTTGGGAACGGTGGACACCACTGAAGCACGGACAACGAAAAGAATAGATTACAGGCACACCACACAACATTATTTCAAGCGGACGAAACGAATCAATGAGTCGCAATAACAAATCTGCTGAGTGCTGAATCTTTGGTATACGGTAGCCTGTTACTTCAGTATACGATAGTATGTTACACTTGTTGTCACTGTTACAAGCACTGGGGAAATAACGGTGAAGCAACAGAAGGCATTCCCTGCAATTCAGACAATTGACAGGGTGTTTTGACAACACAAGCTATAGTCACTTGTCTGCAAAGGGCCCCCGCCGACAGTCCAGCTACCAATCCATACACCAGACACGTCACCGTTGACCGTACGGTGTCATTGAGCACTCCTCCACTGCACAGTGGCCACAGTGCACAACTTCGCGCACCAACAACACCTCGAGCCGGATAAAGCAGACAAAAAACGAGCACACCCGAAGTGCACCGCCCTAAAAACAGACCATCAAAGTCGCCGTCCGATGAGCTTCCAACAAGGCCAGAATTTTGGTGACAGTTGTGGCCTGCTGGGAGTGTCGGCTTAGGACGCACCTGTGCGGCATATCGCCGCCCCCGACACGGGAGCGGCACTGTGCCACCGGGACCAGTTTCACCCTCCCCGCGCCTCCGCTAACTCCATTTATAAACCGCCCCATTCCCGCGGGCCACATTTTCAGCTCATTGTTGGATCGGCCTGCTAAAATAGACCGGAGATTCGTCGGCGGCCATAACCAGGCGTCGCCACCGCCGCCGCCCGCCAAAGTTCGGCCAAGTGGGCGTCAGGAGGCGCGGCCGGCCTGTGACGTCACACGCCCGCGGCACCGTCAGCTGACTGCCGAGCAGCACCTTTGTGCGACCCCCGCGGCGCGCCAAAACGGACCGGCCGCAGCGGGCGCGGGGAGGGATGGGGTTGATGACCCCGCGGCCCGCGGGACAGGCGTCAAGGCGGCGGTGACGGTAACGGCGCCGTCACAGCACGTGCCGCGCGCGCGTCACAAACGCGTCACGAGCCACTGTCGCTGAGCGGCCGGACTGAAACTCGAGCACTCGAGCATCGGCACCCTCTCACCATTCTTCGAGTTCTATTTTATCGGAGGCGACCCGAACAAACCCAGCCGTAGTTCCCCGGAGACCCGAGATCGATAGAATGATACAATGTTTCATTCACCGTTTGACGTATGTGCATTGGAGCGTCGATAGCTACCTGTGTCAATAAACACCCAATCACAGACCAAACCGGCCTAGGACACGCAGAGTTCAGCAAACACACCTGCTCGCCGGATCGACAGCCAATGTCAAACATGCCAAACTGACTGGTAAGACTGTAGGTACTGCAGGAATCCCACAATGCCGCGCAGACAGGTGGGACGGGATTTTCTGGACATGTGTATTGTGTCACCCGGGGTTAAACTTCACCCGTTCACTTTCTCACCAGTCAAACCCAGCCACTGAACCTAAAAATCATTACAAGTTAGTCCGTGATTCATGCTACTACACATAAGCGAGTACGTTCTGAGCATGACACCGCAACTAAAGGAGCGCAGTGAATGCTGATTGCTGATCACCGTTTCAATATCTGACGTCGACTGCAGCGCAGCCCATTCAGTCCAACATCTGATTCATTGACGGCTAGAAATCAAAGATCGCTCTAGTTAATCAAGATCACGCTATCTGACGTCACAGAAGTCACTTTGTTAGGCTGGGGGGATCCATGTAATCGCAAGGCACCTCGCAGTTGCGATCAAACGTAAGTTGAATCGGAACAGATATTGGAGGGATCCATCACATCGTAGGCTAAGTAGATACGCAAGTTGTATCGCAAATGGTGAAGATACGAACTAACTTTACGAATCTTCTCGGTCGATCGGAAGGCCGATCGTAGCGAAGCTTTACCTCTTTCTCAAGAGAAAAATATAAGAAATTTTCAAAATTTTCACAAAACCGAAATATATGTTAAACAAATATGGTTGATGAACACGTGTGCAAAATTTGAAGTCGATTTCTTCAAAAATGGCTGCACTAGAGCGTTTTAAATTTACACGTTGAAAACGGTCACTTTCACGTCCTTTTTGTAATTTATTTTTTTTAATTTTGAAATTTAAAAAGTGTTTTAAGCAATTTTTCGCGTTAATTGCGAAAATCTGACCAAAACATGTATCGCACCATCAATGATCCGATACGCCATCAGAGGCCGCGCCGCGGACAGGTGGGCGCGGCGATACCTAGGCCGCGTGGGGGTTACACTGGTGTTCGGGAAGGGCTATGTCAACGCGAGGCAGGCCGCGGGGGAGCCGGTTGCGGCGCCGGTCCGTATTTGTCGGCGCCTAGCAGTGCAGCGGTGCGTTTATGGCGGAGGGAGGGGAAGCGGTGTAGTGTCGGCAAGGCCGCACACAGGAGAGGGCACACGGGCCTCCCCCCATTCGAGTTGGGGTCCCTAATCTTTAGACCGCCGAAGACCATGTAAAATGAACTGAAATGATGATTAAAAAGACCGGGAGGGCCCATCTCGTTCCCCAGCAGGCCCATACGAGTCCATAAATGCCCAGTAGCGCAGCCAGGGGTATTGTGGTGAAATTTCAATGGCCCTCAAAAGACCTCAAAGGGCCCACAGATGGGGTCACCGGGTCCTCAGATGGTCTCGAAGGGCCCTCGGTTAGCGTCAAATGGCCCTCATCTGGTGTCAAAGGGCCCTCAGATGGCCAAATGAAGGGCCACAAGATGGCCTCAAAGGGCCCTCAGATGGGTTCAAAGGGCTCTCAGCCAACGTTAAACCTACCTCAGAAGACCTTAAAGGGCGTCAAAGGGCCCTAAACCTGCGTCAGAGGGCCCTGAGCTCGCGTCAAACGACCCTCCGAAGGCCTTAAAGAGTCCTTAGCTTGTGTCAGAGGGCCCCCAGCTGGTGTCAGTGAGCCCTCCTCAGCTGGCGCCAAAAGTCCATCTGAAGGCCTCAAACGGTCGTCAGCTGGAGTACAACGGTCCTCAGATGCCGTCACGCGGCCCTCAAAAGCCTCAAGGAGCCCTTATAAGGTCTCAAAGGGCCCTCATTTGGCCTCAAAAGGCCCTCCGCTAGCGTTAACCGGACTTCAGAAGGTCTTAAAGGGCCCTTATCTGGTGTCAGAGGGCCCCCAGCTAGTGTCAGAGGGCCCCCCGGCCCTCAGTTGGCGCAAAATGGCCATCAGAAGGCCTCAAACGGTCCGTAACTGGAGTCAAACCGCAACGGTCCTCAGGTGGCGTCAAGCGGCCCTCAAAAAGCCTCAAAGGCCGCTTAAAAGGCAGCAAAGGGCCCTAATATGACCCCAAAGGGTCCTCTGCTGGCGTCAAACGAACCTCAGAAGGTCTCAAAGGGCGTCAAAGGGCCCTGAGCTCGTGTCAAATATAAAAGCGCCCTTAGCTGGTGTCAGGAGGCCCCCAGTTGGTGTCAGCGTGCCCTCAGCTGGTGTCAGAGAGCCCTCAGTTGGCATCTACTGGCCATCAGAAGGCCCCAAACGGTCCTCAGATGGCGTCCAACGGTCCTCAGCTGACGTTAAGAGGCCCTCAAAAAGGCCTCAAAGACCCCTCGGCTGCTGAAGAGGCCCTTAGCCTCAAAGGAAACTCAAGAGACGTTAAACGGCCCTAAAAAGGCTTGAAAGGGCCCTCTGCTGGTGGCAAAGGGCTCGCATATGACGTCAATAACAGCTTTGTCAAAAACGGACCTGAGAGACCTTGCCGGTCCCTGGTTATAAGGGACTCCTGTCTCTTGCAGTAACCTGAGTGGCCCACGTTTACTGAGGGGCCCCTGGTTATTGAAGGAGTCCCTGGTTACTGGAAGGACCCCTGGTTATCAGAGGGTTCCCTGGTCACCTGGTGGGTCCCTGATCAATTGAAACCTCCCGATCATCTGAGCGCCCCCTGATTGCCTTGGTCTTGGCGTTGGCGTACAATTTAAAGTCGTCGGCACACTGCGGCCTCCTCTTTCTCAACAAGTCCCTCTATTTCTTCTGCAGCGAGGGCGATTTCGTCAAAATACTCCTACATCGCGAAGCCTCGTGCGCAGACGCAGTCTTCGGGGCGCTCGCTGCGCCAACTCTTGACGCCAACTGACGGGCTCCAAATGGAACAGATGGACTCCGAAACGAACGTGGGAATGCCGACACATCATCCCTCCAAATTTACAGAGGAGGAGATGTCCCTGACAGCCCATTTGCAATAGGGGTCACTTTTACACTATAGACGTATGGGGAATTCGACCTTATCGACATGGTACTACGAGGTCAGCTGATCTGCTTGGCATTTAAATCGTAGTAAAACGGGCATTTAAACGCTGCGAAACAACTTACGTACAACGTAGCTCCGATTTGCCGCTCTTTCTTTTTCATCCCTCCGATTTTCTTCCGATCAAGAGAAGTTTCGTACCGAGAGAAGTTTCGCAGCCACGTCCGATATAACTTACGATAGCACGGATCCCCCCAGCCTTAGTTCTCTACGAGTGAGGTGACAAGCCGTGTCGGATCGCAGTCGCACCGCGTCCAGCGTCCTTCCCAGTTCCCCGTAACGCGATAATTAACGTCATCCCTCACGAACGATGACGTCAAATGACGTCAGACACGGAGATAATAATCCACCGGGGAAACCCGCCGCGGAGATATTCTGCAACCGCAGGTATTGTTATTCAGAGGTATCCTTGCGCAACTATGTGTCATGTTTCCAGAACTAATGGCGCTTGAACATAAAAAAGTCGCCTGCCAGTGAGACTGTCAGACCAACTACGTCAACTGACGTCACGATACAAATGAAAAACGTCATCGGAACATGCACAGCAGGTGACACCTGGCCACATGACACCGGCGGGGAGCGGTTACTGGGCGGCAGGTGCATATGGAGCAACCGGCTTCACTTATAGGGTTCGGGGCAAAT